CTGAGCTGCCCAGGGGCCCTGCCCTCTGCCTTCTACCATCTATAAATGATAACCTTGAAGGACATGCCCCACGATCCCCAGCACTCCACTGAAAGGCACTCAGTCATCTCTTGTCATTTCAGTCTTTCACGATGTTATATTAAAATTTTAACCCACAAGGTGAGGATGTGTCTTCTTGTGAGATTGTTCTGAGGCTTCCAGATAAAGTCTAAACTGCCTAGCACTGAGTGGGGGGCTCAATTAATGGCAGCTTTATTATGATGAAGTCATAGCAGGATGAGAATTTACTTTTGAGGGCATTCATGAATGTACACCATTGTAAGACAGTCACAGTTTGGTAGCAAATAGCTCTCTTACTGCAGACTTTGTCACGTAGATTATGGTTTTATAACTTAAGATCCACCCACCAGCATATTACACACTTGGCTGGGGAACTGGCCCACATTTTGCTCTCGATGGCAGAGCAGTCAGCCTTAAAAGCCCATGAGGAATGCCTAACTTTGTAACTGCTTTATAAATCTCTTCAGTAAATTAAATACTGAATCATCAGCATTATTTTTAATCAGCACTCATATATGCAATTCATTGCTTACAGAATAAAGCTTTTAATAGCAAACAGACAAAGCTAGATGACAATGGAGGCAGATTTATAGCTGCTGGAACAGATATGGCCCAGAAGTGCTGACTAACAGTCAGCGTCCATCTCAAGGGAGCTCTCTAGTGGTATAATCAGTGGCTTGTCCATGTATCTTTTCTGATCAACCTAGTTCTCAAAGCAATAAAGATATTAATTTTGCAGCTGACATAATGCATTGAAGGATAATAAATATGCTGGATGACACTTAAAGTTCAAAATTATTTCTGTTGTAGATGAAAACCAAAGGCTGAGATGTAAAAGGATAAACATAAGGTCCTGCACTCGGGTTCAATAAATCAACTACACAAACACTGGATGGGGAGGCTATCAGGAGAGCAGTTCATGCAGAAAGATGAAGCAGGTTTCAGGTAATCCTGCTAATGGAAAACTCAACATGAATCTATTGTGTGAGGCAGCCATTAAAATAGTTTATATAAATTAAGCTTCATTAATAGAAGTGGAGACAATGTGTGCATCACAGGAGGTGATAGTCAGTGTCAGGAAGAACCACAGTTTACAGTTTTACACATGGAGTTCATAGGCATGTCAGATTTTAAGAAGGGCATGCAAGAATCGGAGAAAATCCAGAAGAGGCTGGATAGTAGATGTGATTATCTGAAAAATCAACTTATGAGGAACATCTGAAAGATTGGGAGTGTTGAATTCTGAGAAGAGCATTCCAAGTGGTTGGCATTCATTATTTTCAAAAATTTAAGTGGCTGATACACAGAATAAAAAGATGTGTTCAGTGCTTTTCCAAAGAGAAGATCTAGCACCAGTGCACAGATGTAATAGGAGGCACATCCCATTTGCCTAATAATTAGACCATGAGATCATTACCTGAGCTGACTTCAGATGCTTAATCCACTGAGTCACCCAGGTGCCCCCAATTCGCCTAATAATTGAGGCTGATGAAAAATGTCACAGTGAAATAGTGACGTGAACTAGTAAGTTTTCACTCCTGGAAAAAACAGCCAGAGAATGGATGACCACTGGAAGGGATATGATGGAAGGGCTCCTCTTTGGGTGAGAGGCAATTCTAAGACTATATAATTGTTGACTGAATAATCAACTCAAATCATTAGTGAAGGGCTAGCTGATTCTTGTTTTTGTTTTTGTTCCAACAGAATATAAATCAGTGCTTCCCCACAGAGGGAAGACCCTGTGAAGACAGAGGAAGTAGCTGACAGCCAACAGGTCAAGGAGAGAGGCTTTCAAAGAAGCTAGCCATGCTGACACTTTGATCTTGAACTTCTAGCCTCCAGGACTGTGAGAAATTTCTGTTGGTTAAGCCACCCAGTCTGTGGTATTTTGTTACAGCAGCCCTACCAAACCAATATTGACTTTTTGAGCCTCCTCTAACTAAAGTGGTTTGGACAAAGTTTATTTGGCTAAGCCAGGAAATACTGCTATCTAGGAAGGGTCCTGACAGAGTTAATAAAAAGCAACTAGCTTCACGACTCAGAATACCTTTTATTGAGCCAGCAATTCCATTTCTGAGGATTAATTTGAAGGAAGCAAAACACTAACTTGAAAGAATATATGCACTCCCATATTCACTGTGGCATTATTTACAATAGCCAAGATAAAGAAATAACCTAAATGTCCACTGATGGATGAATGGATAAAAAAAATTGTGGTACATAAATATTCAGCCATAAAAAGGAATTTTGCCATTTGTGACAACATGGATGGACCTGGAGTGAAATAAGTCAGAGAAAAACAAATACCTTATGATCTCACTTATATGTGGAATCTAAACAAAAAACTGAACTCAGGGACATCTGGGTGGCTCAGTCGGTTGAGTGTCTGACTTCAGCTCAGGTCATGCATGTTCTTGCGGTTAGTGAGTTCAAGCCCCACATCTGGCTCACTGCTGTCACAGCTAAGCCTGCTTCAGATCCTCTGTCCCCCTCTTTCTCTGCCTCTTCCCCACATTCTCTCAAAATAAAAATTTTTTTTAACTGAGTTTAGGGCACGTGAGTGGCACAGTCAGTTAAACATCTGACTCTTGATCTTGGCTCAGGTCATGATCTCACAGTTCCTGAGTTCGAGGCCCACATGGGGCTCTGTACTGACAGCACAGAGCCAGCTTGGGATTCTGTTTCTCATTCTCTCTGCCATTCCCCTACTTGTGCTCTCCCTCTCTCTCTCTCAAAATAAATAAATAAACTTAAAGAAAAATTAAAAGAAAAAACTGAGTTTATATATACAGAGAATAGATGGGTAGTTGAAAGAGGCAAGGTGTGAGGGCTGGGCAAAATGAGAAAACTGATAAAACGAAGAAGTCATGGGGTGTAATTACAGCATGGTGGCTGTAGTTAATAATACTGTACTATATATTTGAAAGTCACTCAGTGTAGGGGCACCAGGGTGGCTCAGTCAATTAAGCGTCCGACTCTTGATTCAGCTCACGTTACGATCTCACAGTTTTGTGAGTTCAAGCCCCACCACAGGCTCTGTGCTACAGTGCAGAGCCTGCTTGGGATTCTCTCTCTCCCTCTCTACCCTTCCACCACTCACTCTTTCTCTGTCTCTCTCAAAATAAATAAATAAATAAATAAATAAACTTTAATTTTTTCAAAAAAGGAAAGTTGCTGAGAGTAAATCTTTTTTTCTTTTCTTTTTTTTTTTTTAACAAATAGTTTATTGTCAAATTAGTTTCCACACAACACCCAGTGCTCATCCCCACAAGTGCCCTCCTCCATGTCCATCCCCCCTCCCCCCCACATCCATCAGTCCTCAGTTGTTGTCAGCATTCAAGAGTCTCTCATGGTTTGCCTCTCTCCCTTTCCCCCACTATTTCCCCCCTTCTTCTCCCCCTTGTTCCTCAGTTAAGTTCCTCCTAACCTTCCTATACGTGCAAACATATGATATTTGTCCTTCTCTGCCTGACTTATTTCGCTCAGCATAACACCCTCAAGGTCCATCCATGTTGCTCTTTTTCTTTTTTAAACATTTATTTATTTTTGAGAGACAGAGAGAGACAAAGCACAAGCAGAGGAAGGGCAGAGAGAGAGAGGGAGACACAGAATCTGAAGCAGGCTCCAGGCTCTGAGCTGTTAGCACAGATCCTGATATGGGGCTCAAACCGACGAACTGCGAGATCATGACCTGAGCTGAAGTTGGATGATTAATGGAGCAAACCAAGTACCCTGAGTGTAAATCTTTAAAATGAGTTCTCACAACAAGAAAACAAATGTGTTACCATGTGAGGTAATGGGTGTTAACCAGAATTATTCTGGTGATCATTTCACAATATCCAGTCATTATGTTGCTCTTCTGAGACTAATGTTATCTACAGCTCAAATAACAAAATAAAACACAACACAGACTCCCAGTGTGGAGGCAGCCTCTGAGCCAGTGACTTACTCCCATCCCAGCAATTCCAGCTCAGTCCAGATAACTTTGGTGAAACCCAGTGCTGTGTGCCCAAACCAGAGCATGAGGCCACTCATCACCTCATGTACTAACTCAGTTATCTCAAGCAGGCCTCATCGCTAGGTGAGATGGTTACTTTCTGGATCATGTGAAGAATTCATTTATTCTATTGTTATTTTCCTCTTTATATTCCTTCATATTTTTCAAATTTTCTGCCTGGGCCTTGAACTAAGAAAAGAAGAAATAAAAAATGTAAAAAAAAGTAAAAAATATAAAGTAATAAAAATATAAAAATGTAAAAAGTAATCTGAATCATTAAAACAAAGCATGAGTCTTTTCCCTTCAAATGTTTTGCCAAAAAGTTTACAAAAAAGAGAAAGTTTCGGGGAGCCTGGGTGGCTCATTTGGTTGAGCATGTGACTCTTGATTTCAGCTCAGCTCATGGTCCCAGGGTCATGGGATTGAGCACATGCTGAGCATTGAGCCTGCTTAAGATTCTCTCTCTCTCTCTCTCTCTCTCTCTCTCTCTCCCCTTCTGCCCCTCTCCTCTGCTTACATTCAATCTCTTGCTTTCAAAAAAAAATGAAAGTAAGCTTCAAAACAAATTATCATGATCACTGTTTACTCAGTAGAAGGTATGTTCATATAATGAATAACTTTTTCAACAGTCACTTTTTAAAAAAAATTTTTTTTTAATGTTATTTATTTTTGAGAGACAGAGTGCAAGTATGGGAAGGGCAGAGAGAGAGGGAGACACAGAATCCGAAGCAGGCTCCAGGCTCTGAGCTGTCAGCACAGAACCCGACATGGGCTCGGCCCACGAACCATGAGATCATGATCCGTCAACAATCACTTTTATGCCTTCTCCATTTTATACCTCTTCTGCTAGCTTACAGGTACTTGGGGAACAGGAGAGGAAGAACATTACGAGAGATCACCTCATGGAAATAGTTGGTGTCATTATAATGACGTCATGAATTACCTTCATGTCCACTGATGGGTCACCCAGCAACAGCGTCCACTCATACTGGACAATGGCATGGTCGTCTGTGCTCTCACGGCCATCCAAAACCACTCCATCTGTAGGCAGGTGCAAAACTATGTCCTTCCCAGCCTTGCTAAGTGGGGGCTCATCTTTTTCTGTGAAAGAAATAATTCACAAGAGATGAGTGCCTATTTTTTAAATAATTTATTTAAAGCAGTATCTTGTTTGCTAGAATAGATGTAGTCTAGCATGCAACTAGTTTGAGAATGTATAGCAACTGAAAGTTATTTTCTTATTGATTTTCATGTATTCTCTTTACATAATAAATACAATAGCAATTTATTAAGAATATGGAATTTAGCTATAATACATGCAGAAGAGGAGGTATGGAGAATCAGCTATTTGCAGTAGCTAGGACAAAATTGTGGGTACAAGACAGAGTACTAGGCTATCCAATCTGGAGTAGTAGTTCTATTCTCTAGATTAAAATTTTCATTTAATTTATAAATGATTTAAGTTCAAAGTTCAACTAAATGAATTTTAAAAAAGACTTTTGAAACACATATGAAAAAAATCCTCCTCTGATACAGATTTTTTTCCTTACCCTCAAGTTTTTAAAATAGAAGTGGTATAAAGTATTCAATATAGAGGAAATAAATTGGGGTGCCTGTATGGCTCAGTCGGTTAAGCGTCCAACTTTGATTCAGGTCATGATCTTGTGGTTTGTGAGTTCGAGCCCTACGTCAGGCTCTCTGCTGACAGCCTGGAGCCTGCTTCGGATTCTCTCTCTCTCTCTCTCTCTCTCTGCTCCTCCCCTGCTTGTGCTATCTCTTTCTCTCTCTCTCTCCTCTCAAAAATAATTAAACATTAAAAAAATGCTTTTAAAAAGGAAATAAATTAAATTTGGAAAGTTAAGGCAAGTTCTTAGATTCACATAAAATAAAGTTCAACTTGGCAATTCTCTGGAGAACAATTTTTCATCTAGGAAAATAGAAAACATGCACAGTTTCTAACAACTAATTTTTATGACAGAATCTGGCACACCACGTTTCTGTATGATAGCAAAACAAATATGTTTGCCTTCGATCTGGAATAGTACTAAATAATTTAAGGTTAACTACATTCACTAACTAATCTATAACTCGTAGCCACTTTCAGCTGTGACTGATAGGAGAAGCTGCATACAGAAAACATTTCTGAGGTACACAGTTACGAATATTTTATTGATTTAAGGTTATAAGTAAGCTTACTCAGATGTAAATATATACATATATTTTTTTTTTGAGAGAGAGAGAGAGGGAGAGAGCGTGCACATGTGAGTGGGGGAGAGGGGAAGGAAGAGGGAGAGAGGATCCTAAGCAGATCTCATACCCGGTGCGGAGCTGATGCAGGTGGATCCCACGACCATGAGATCATGACCTGAGCCAAAACCAAGGGTAGGATGCTTAACCAACTGAGACACTCAGGCACCCTGATATATTTTAAAGAAACTTGGTAATATTAATGGGGAAAAATCTATAGGTTCTTATAAATATATCCTGTTTGGCATTGACTACTTCCCCCCTCCTCCAGTGCCAAAGCTCTGTGCAAATTCTGGCTTGGATGTGTTCCTCCTGAGCTTCTGCTGAATGATGTGGCTGAGGCACTGCTCCCTTCCTCCAAAGCCCCAGTTGCTTCCTAAGTAAACGCCTAAGAGCCTATTCAGATGTCACAGGGCCAGATGTCTGAGGCTAGCAGCAATCCTCTTCATTTCTCACTAGGCAACAGCCGGGAGTCACTCTTGATGCTCTGCAGCTAAAATGACTTTTCTGAAATTCTAATCTGATTGGGTCCTTTCCATGGTTAAGAAAAACCCTTCAGCAAGTTACCATGACCTTTCAGATGCTCAGAGACAGGCTGGTCCAGTCCTATCTTCTGTTCTACTAATCTTCCCAATACCCAGAAACAGAGAATTTCTAAAAGGGGCTGGCAGCTCTTAGAGCTGTGGCTTTTCTGAATGAGAATGCTGCTGATCATCTCAAAAAGGGGCGGCTTTTTTTTTATGAGCATGTTTACAGGAAATAAGTACATTTGCTATTGCCAATGGTTACATTTGTCTATTGAGAAGAGTCCCATTTTTATAGTCATTTAAAAGAATGAGGACTAATAACTCATTTTTAAATAAGCCACACAAGCATCCTTTGCCTAAGAAGAAATTTGTTCTGCTTTTTTCCACCTCTGAGCAAAGACCCAGGGTCTTATGTCTTTATCTGCTTCTCCCAGGTAAGGAGAGAGGTGACAATTTCATTACTAATAGGCCATTTTACACAGTGGTACACAGATCTTTCTTTCGGTTCTGGAAGTTTCCATTGCTTTCTACACAATAGTTTACCACTTTATAAATCTGGAAAGCATCTTATAATTCACAGTAATACATTATAATTAGCAGTTATTTGCATGAAAATTTATTTTTAGGGGCTCCTGGGTGGCTTAGTCGGTTAAGCGTCCGACTTTCGCTTAGGTCATGATCTCGCGGTTCGTGGGTTCGAGCCCCGCGTCGGGCTCTGTGCTGACTGCCAGCTCAGAGCCTGGAGCCTGTTTCAGTCTGTGACTCCCTCTCTCTCTGACCCTCCCCTGCTCACGCTGTCTCTCTCTCTCTCTCTCTCTCTCCTAGAAATAAATAAAACATTTTTTTAAAAAAAGAAAATTTATTTTTAAAGTATTATTTATAAGTAAACAAACTAAAATAAGCCTATATGATATAAGCTACAATGAATGCTATTATATATATATATATACATATATATATATATATATATATAAATATATATATATATATATATATATATTTTTTAAGCCCTCAAAGATAAGATGGAAAAAATCAGGGAAGTTTTGAAATATCCTACATATTACAACCTAATTAATCCTACTGCCCCTGGAAGAAAAAACAATTCATTGTTTTAGTTGTTCACTTTTCCTTAGGTGAGCTTTAAGATATGATTTATGAGCACAATGAAATCCTCATATCCTCTACATTGATCACTGTTGTAACTGAAATAAGGGAGATACATTCCTTCATCGGTTCAAGTCCAGGAAAGTTATACTGCATAATGTATCTTAAAATAAGCCAGAGTTTATCTACCCAGAGACAGGCCTTAAAAGTAAACAAGTGACAAGAAGAAGAGGAAAGGAGTGTGCTATCATTTAAAATTATTTGATTTGCTGATAAAGAACATGACAAACGTAAATTTGCATTTTCATCATAAAAATACAATAAAGCAATGCTAACTACTATGGAAACATTGATTTCTTTTGAAAACTAAACACACTTGGTAAGATCTGTAGAGGTGAATAAGACTCATGCTAATTTTGATGAAGCATATCAAGGTGGCATTTTATGCAGGTAAGAATAATATTACTGATCTGTTAGCTAATCTGATTTACAACACAATGCTGTGAACAGAGCCATAATGACGAGGAGGAGGCTGTGGAATCTAGATCTGTACTGTATGGGCACAAATGATATAGCAGAGGTTGAGGAATTAGAAAGGACTCTTGAAGTCAGGATACAGAAGTGGGGCCAGACTAAGGGAAGAGGCTTAGATACTGTGTGTCAAAATCCATGCGTTTGGTTGATTGGTTTTTGTGGTTTCTTTTTTCATTGTGTGTTCTTCTTAATTGTAACATGACAGGAAAGAATTATTCTGATTATCATCATTTTTGGTGTGTACTGTTATAGTCTTTCTATATATGAGCTGATGTTAATAAGAGGTACCACTCATTGGGTGGCATAAGTGCTAAGTGCTTGTAAGCCATGTCACTCAACTCTCATGAGTCTCCGAGGTAGGTATTATCGCCTGCATCAGACTCATGAAAAAATGAGTTAGAGGCTAAGTCGCCTAAGATGATACAAATGATAAATCTGTCAGTTCCGATGTCAGCGCAGATTTTTCTAAGTATACTGTGGGGGTTCCCAAGTGTATTCGAGTTACAGGAAATACAAATTTCCATCCTGATTTAGCCTATTAATATATTCTATTTATTGATATTTATTCATATATTCTAGTACTGCCCATGTTACTATATAAATGTCACAGTTGTCATTTAGATTTTTAAAAATTTTATTAATGTTTATTTTTGAGAGAGAGAGAGAGAGTGTGTGAGTGGGGGAAGGGCAGAGAAAGAGAAGGAGAGACGGAATCTGACACAGACTCCAGGCTCTGAGCTGTCAGCACAGAGCCTGATGTGGGGCTCAAACTCACAAACCACGAGATCCGGACCTGAGCTGAAGTCAGATGCTTAATCGACTCACCCACCCAGGTACCCCGTCCATTTTGATTTTTAACCTCTAGTATTGGGCATTTGCTTTATTATCAATTTGTTTCACCATTATAAATAATGCCACAATAAATATTTTTGCTCCTACTTCTTCTTTAGCATGGATCACTTTCTTATAAAAATATTCCAGAAGAATGAATGACTATTTTAATGGTCTCTGCCACATGGTTCCTGTGTGACACTTGTATGACACAACTCTGCAACTCACATGCATTGAGACTCTGGGCAAGTTACTTTCCCCGAGCCTTCTGGTACATTGGGGAATATAACAGAACCCAGGTCTTTGGCTGTTGTGAGAAGAATGAGTTCATGTGTCTAAGGAGCCCAGAAGAATGCCTAACACCAAACTCAATCAGCGTCAGCAACAAACACGGCTGATGGATTCTGCTATAAATCTGTGCCATCCCATCCCACCTGCCCCCTCACTACTTCATGATGTCTTAACTCACCTCAAATGGCCCCCCAACAAATTCTCTGCAAGAGCTTTTCTAATCCATTTTCATGCTCCTTTGGCTTCCAACTCTGTATGCTCAGAAAAGTCAGAAAAAGGGGTCCCTGGGTGGCTCAGTTGGTTAAGCATCCGACTCTATTTCAGCTCAGGTCATGATCTCACAGGTGGTGAGATCAAGCCCCACATCAGGCTCTGTGCTGACAGTATGGAGCCTACTTGGGATTCTCTCTCTCCCTCTTCTCCTCCCAGATTCGTGCATGCTCTCTCTCAAAATAAATAAATAAAACTTAAAAAAAAAGTCGGGAAAAAAGAGACAATTCAAGAAGGAAAAACTTAGAAGTTTCAGAAGCATAAAGAACTTCAAGAGGTTAAGCATCTGGGCAGGGCAAACAGAGGGCATGTGGGTAGGTAACCTTTGCCCTCATTGCAGAGAATGAGGGTGCCTTGGGGCCTGAGCTACACCCTTCTAGTTTCCTGGTTGCTGAGCCCGACAGTGTTTTCCAGAATGAGGACCAAACCCTGCGGTCATCTGCTTTCACCCCTGAATATCTATATAATTGAATTCCCAAACTCAGAAACTTCTACTAGTAAACCTAACTTTTTTAAAAAATTTCCACGAGCATATTCTTTGTTTATGTTCCTTTTGCTCTCCCCTGGCTTATAAGAAAGCTTCCTGTGGCCATATTGGTTTTTTTCTAGATGTGCATTCAGAACAAGGGAAAGGGATTTTGTTTCTTTGCTGCTGGGATTTTTCGGTCTGTGTTTGGGCAAAGAGGAAGGCTGTGCGGGTAACACCATGGGGCAGGCTCAGTGATGGTTGGTGGGGGGGGGGGCGGTCCATGTGAGAGTGCTTCCTGCCTCCACTTCAGGGAGAACACTTGGTGTTCTTCCCAATGTCTGCCTCAAGGCCGAGCAGTCACAGGGTGACCTTTGATGTCTGCTCAGGTGCAGGTGGGTAGGGGGGTGGGCCACTGTGGGTATGGTTTCCCAGCCCTTGCCTTTGGACCTTCAGGTCTTGGGAGGCACCAGATTTCCAAAGCGGCTGAGGCTACCCCCACCCTCAATCTTGCTATGATATCATTCTTGGGTTATTATAAATCACAGAGCAACAGAGTGGAGTCAAACACATAGCCAAACACACGTGGGCCCAATCAAGGTTTTATTCCCTCAATAGCCTTAATCTCCAACTGCTACAATTTTTTTGCGTGCCTTCTGTATGTGCCTTGACTCTCATTCAGAGCATCTGCAGGAAGTAAAACCACAGAAGGAAAAACATTATTAGCTCTTTAAGAAAAGGGACATGCCTTAAACTTTCACATCCTCAACGAAAATCAAATCCCTTCCTTTCCCCCTCTACAAAAGGGACCCGTAGTTCATGGGAATCAGTTGGACCCACTTCAAAAATACCGGACACCAAGTTTCCTCTTCTCGTTTTTGTCTGATGAAAACCACTACACATGGGATCATGAGTCGTGAGAACGACTCTAGGAAACCGGTGTGCTATGAGCAGTCCGGCATCTAATTAGATTTTGCTCTTGCCATTACTTGACACAAACCATGACTTATAAAATCCCGAGCCTAAAATAACCTGCTTTTCCCTTTGCTTTTCTCCTCCCTCCCCAATCCTGGAGAGATTCCGGAAGCAGCCCACGGTGCCCTCTTCTGCCGAATCTACTAAGGTTTCTCAGAAACCGTCCATCAAAGAAACCAAAGCCACTCTTCGGGATGCCCGCCAACTAAACTAACTTGGACGAAGCTGTTTCGTCTCTCGCTTGGCGGGACTGCCTAAGCGGGTCTCCCGGACGCAGCCACCCAACAGGCGCGAAGGCCGCAGCGCCCGAGAGGTCTGACCCACCCTCCTCGCGCGGGGTGCTCACCCATCGGAGGCGAGGCTCCCAGGTCTCCCTGCCCCCGCTGCGGGGCGCGGCTGAGGCTGTAGCTGCTGTAGCCGCGGTGCAGCGCGAACTTGCAGACGCTGCGGCCGCGGGCGGTGCAGTTGAAGAGGTAGCAGCCGAGCGCGGCGGCGGAGGGCGCGGGCCGCCGGGGCAGCTCCACCACGGCCACCGAGCAGCGCGGCTCGGAGCAGCAGGCCGCCACGCACTGCCGCCAGTCCCGCACGGCCGCCGGCGCCGTCAGGAAGCTGGCGCCCGCCGCGAGGGAGTCCTTGGTGCGGATGATGGCGTCCGGCATGGCGCTGTAGCCGCCGCCGCCGCCGCCGCCGCCGCCCGGGCCCGGGCAGCCCTCCTGGGGACCGCCGCCCGCGCGCAGCTCCAGCTCCAGCTCCTCCTGCGGCCGCTCCTGCTGCAGCTGCCGGCGGAACTCCTCCAGCAGCTGCTCCACTCCCGAGAGCTGCGCGTGCAGTTCGGACAGCGGCGCGGGCGGCGGCCCCGCCGCGCCGCCGCTCGGCAGCCACAGGCAGAGCAGCAGCAGCCCGCGCAGCGCCCGGTGCCGCGGCGGCCGCCTGCGCCCCGAGCCCGCGCTCCCGCCGGCGGCGAAGGCCATGGCGGCCGGGTGCTGAGGCGGCGAGCCGAAGCGGGGCCGCAGAGCGCGAGGAAGGCGGGCGAGCGCGGGCCCCGTGACCGCGGCGGGCTCGAGGCCCTGGCGCCTCACAGCGCGGCCTCCCCGGGGCCGGGCTGCGCCCCTGAGGCCGCGGGCGCGCGGTCGTCGGCGGGAACCGCGGCAACGGGAGGCATAGCCAGCCCGGCCTGGCACCGCTCCTTGTCCTTTCCGGCGGCTTCCGGGAGCGCCCGCGCCTCCGTGGGGGGACTCTGGGCGCACTCTGACGCGGCTCGGCGGCCTCGGCGCCGATCAGCACCCGGGCCTGTGAACAGTGGCCGCGGCGGGGGCGGAGGCGCGGCAAGCCCCGCCCACGCGCCCTCCGCCGCGCCTGCGGTCCCGCCCCGCCCCGCCCCCTGCTAGCGTTGACCCCACCCACTCCACCCTTCCGCAGGCTCCTCCCCCGCTGGGAGGGCGCGGCAGAGAGACCTGGAGGGCCGGTTTCTAGGGGTGCCGCGCTGAGAGTTCTTCGGTGACCGCAGCCCTCCAAGTCCGGGCAGGGCTTGTGTGTCTGAGACCCAGCCGGCTTCGTGAACAAGTTAGCTTCGTTAACAGGCGAGACCTGCTCCGGTGTCAGTCAGCTCTAAGGGGACGCTCAAATCCTTGTGACCTCGGGGTTTGCTTTAGAAAAGGGACTTGAACCAGGGAACCCCTAGTCTTCAGTCCTTCACCACCACCCCCCTTGTTTACATATTAGGTTCCCCAGATGCACTTGGGTCGCACAAGGCGGGCCACGCTGTTGAGAAATCTAAAAATCGAGCAGTCACGTTCACTTACGTTTTCCACAAACCTACCTGGAAATCTGAACACAGCCAATTAGGAGGACCTGGGGAGTTATCTCTGTTGTCTCTGTTCAGCGTATAGAGAGGCCTTCCAGCTTAGATCATGTGCGATCTGGTGGAGTTGTGTTGTTTTTATTTATTTTTATTGAATGAACTCTCGCAGATAATCCTTTCCTTTGCCAAGGTATGATTGAGGTAGAAAACCGTAGCCTCAGGCGTGCAACATAATGATTCAACACATAGATTTTGTTGACTGATCACCACAGCATCTGTCATCATCCGGAGTTACAAAACTGAGCAGTAGTGTTTTAAATGACATAAGAAGGCATATGAAAATCCAGTCCAGTGGAGAACACATCCGAGAGCTGTAACTGCCTGCCGACTGCTTCTACAACTTACTTATTTCAGACAGAATCTCTTTCTCTTGATTCAGTTTTCTCCTGATGATGGACCACGTTTTCTTGCTTTTTAGCATGTCCAGAAGTTTTTGACTGGATACATGAACATTGTAATTTGTACATTGTTCAATGTCTGTATTTTTATGAGGGAAAGAGAAGCACTGGATAGGAAAATAGCAGTTTCTGACATATATAAATGTATATATATATACACATATATATACATGTGTATATATATATACATTTTAAATTTAATTAAATTTAATTTTTTAAAAATGTCTTTTATTTATTTCTGAGAGAGAGAGAGACAGTGTGAATAGGAGAGGGTAAGAGAGAGAGGGAGATACAGAATCTGAAGCAGGCTCCAGGCTCTGAGCTGTCAGCACAGAGCCCGATGCCAGGCTCGAACCCACAGACTGTGAGATCATGACCTGAGCCGAAGTCAGACGCTTAACTGACTGAGCCACCCAGGCGCCCCTATACATTTTTAATTTTAGAGTTTATATTTGGAACCCATTGCTTTCATATCTAGAACAGAGAAGGAGATAGAACTAGAAGGTAAAAATGCAAAAGAAAAAAGAGACAATATAGCCCAATATTTCTTGCTATTCCATGAAAAAGGAAATTTATAGAGTTCATGAAGCTGTGTATGTGAATGACTTTGAGGCTGAGCAAATGGCCTCTTCGCACTAAAGGCTATGTCTGGGCTATACTACCCTAGGCGGCTGGTTTTTCTACCTATGAGATAGCCACCCCACACAACTGAAGCCACTTAGATACCTTTGACAACATAAGCATTCCTTTTGCCTTAGACCTCAGAGAGCATGAGTAGGTTTATGATAAAGAGAACCTTTCACTTGTGATAAAAATGGACCCTGAAGGCGGCATCAAACCTTCTATAATAGTAATTATTATTATTAATATGAAACATAAACATGTATGATAATGCAATATAATATTAACTAACAATTATAATGATTTCGGAGTTTGCCAAACACTTTCACGTACATGAATTCATATGACTTTCACAAAGATTTTAAGATGGACATGTGACCCTCACTCATGCCTTTGGGATAGTGAAAGGGAAGTCGGTATAGAATGAGACCCAACTCACATGTTCCATGGGGGACATAATGAGGGACAGGAGGCAGGGTCAGCGTTTCTCAGGAGCATTCCTTTCCAATCCTCCCAGCACCGCCAAAGATTTCCCCTCTGTAACTTCACAAGAGGGCGCTTTTGAGAAAAATGGAAATGACAGTGTGTTTTACCATCGACACTGGTTTTTCTGTGGTGTGAGATGGGAATGAATAGTGGAGGGGAATACTCACTTTTTTACTTTACAAGACTTCATATCAGTTGAAAGTTTTATGATGAGCTTGTCATAAAGCATTTGTCAGTAAAAACAAAAACAAAACAGGCTCTGACTTCTGCCGCAGCCATATTAGAGTAAAGGGGTTGGGTGTATGTATCCTCCAAACTTAGATGAAAAATCCAGAAAAAAATAAAAAAGAAACAATGTGCAGGGGCGTCTGGGTAGCTCAGTTGGTTAAGTGACGGGCTCTTGATTCCAGCTCAGGTCATGATCTTGTGATTTGTGAGATAGAGCCCTGCATTGGGTGCTGCGCTGACAGCGTGGAGCCTGCTTGGGATTCTCTCTCTCCCTCTCTCTGCCTCACCACCCCTCAAATAAATAAACTTAGAAAGGAAGGAAGGAAGGAAGGAAGGAAGGAAGGAAGGAAGGAAGGAAGGAAGGAAGAAAGAAAGAAAGAAAGAAAGAAAGAAAGAAAGAAAGAAAGAGCTTTGGACACCGGATAATAGACAGTGCAGGACCCAGGACAAGGGACACTAAGGCAGCGATCCTTCTTACTGCCCTGGATTCCTGCCCAGAGAGAGATTCCAAACTGCAGGGCAGGGAGTGGAACCCAAAAGGAGCCTGGCAGTCTCTCTGAGCAGAGAAAGTGGAATTGAGAATTTTAAGGGAACCAGGAGGCTGGGATCCCCAGGGCAGAGTACCAGAGAGGAGACAGCTAGAGGGAAAGAGATCTGGAAGTCTGCAGAGGGTTCCCCTGAACCCTCACCTGAGTGCTGGTCAAGTGTGTGCATGTAAGGAAACCATCCAAGGCCAGAGAAAGAACCACTGGAAAGATGCAGGCAGAAGAATTTCCAAGCTGCACAGACCTGGGAATAGTGATGTTCCGGACGGCTGGAGTGGAGAAACCTGGAGTACCAGGGTGCCGTGGGAGGGAAGGATCACAAAGAAGTGCGGGCACACTAGCTCGCAGCTGTAAGATACGTTCACGCTTTGATTGCGGTGATGATCTCCCTGGTGCGTACATGTGTCAAAGCTCATCGGAGTGTGTGCTTGAAGTAGGTGCAGCTTATTGTCTTCAATTATACTTGAATAAAACTGTGAAAAACAAGTGTCATCACATGGTGTATTAGGAGGGAGATTGGGGCTGATTATGATTTGTGAGAGAGGCAATAAATCATTTATCTCCAAGTTGTAGTTTTTCTCCTTTCATTTCTATTAGAAATAAAATATCTTTGTTTTGAAAACCTAAACATCAAAACATTACCAATGGACAGAAGAATTTATATGTGAAGGTACATATGTCAGGACTATGGGCTGAAAAGATGGAGATGTGTTGCTGCTTTATAAGATCATTAAAGGAGGGGTGCCTGGGTGGCTCAGTCGGTTAAGCAGCTGACTCCCCACATTGTCAAAAAGAAAAAAAAAAAACACCCCCTTAAACTTCAGATTTCCTCACTGGTTCCATGGGAAAAAATTAACAAGGTAAACTTTTAAGGAGACACAGATGAAATATTCTTAAGACAGGCATGTCTTTTTAATTATAAAACTTTATTCTACGGTTTACTAAAGGGCAAATAAGCTCATTTTATCTCTGTTCCAATTTATTAGCAAAAGGATGACTTACATTACATTAGCAAAGTTATGGTTAACTTTTGTCTGCCTCATAGTTTTCATGGGTACTTGTTAAGATAGCTTTCGGGATCTTTGGTAACCTAAAATTTTAACATTTTGCTTAAATGATTAATTGAATTAAGTTCTTCAGGGGCGCCTGGGTGGCTTAGTCGGTTAAGCGTCCGACTTTCGCTTAGGTCATGATCTCGCGGTTCGTGGGTTCGAGCCCCGCGTCGGGCTCTGTGCTGACTGCCAGCTCAGAGCCTGGAGCCTGTTTCAGTCTGTGACTCCCTCTCTCTCTGACCCTCCCCTGCTCACGCTGTCTCTCTCTCTCTCCTAGAAATTAAAAAAAAAAAAAAAGTTCTTCAGATATATGGGCCTCTTCCAAATCAAATGGAATGCTGAAGCATTGCTTACTAAACATTGGTTTATGCTTCTGACTTCTTATGAAAAAAAAATTCTAATCCATGCTTTATGCTTAATGCGTTCATAAGTCTACCACCTAAAAAATTTTCTGATGTAACAGACAACTCACAATTGGTCATTACTTAATTTTCACCAGAGACTAAGTTTTCTAAAAGTTAAAAATTCTGCTAAATGTAGTTAAAACTGATCAAAATAAGAAAAGCAACTCTGTATGTAGAAAAGTAGGAGATATGAAAGAAAAGTATAAGAAATGGAGGTTTTTTTGTTTTGGTTTGTTTTGTTTGCTGAAGGTAAAAGAAAGTAATTTTGTCCTAAATTAGACTGACTATTTGGAGAAAAATGGCTTGGGACAGAATCTAAAGGCAAAGAAAAGTTGTAGAAGGTTGTGAAGGAAAATCTTTAAAAAGAAATTTCCTGTGTGGTCAGGATGGACTAAGGTTAAAATAAATGGATTTTGAAAGTAACACAGGGTTAAGATTAACATTCCTCCTC